GCCTAGGTTTCTTTAGGAGTCTGAAACAAAGGTTTTTGTGCAATTAGGGAAGTAGAAAATGTGATACCATTTAGCAGTTGTGAAAGATGGGGGAATAAATGAAAAAGAAAAGAAAGCCAAGATAAGTCTGTGTTAGTGATCTGGCCACAAGAACTTCTGAAGATCTTAGGCAACACATCTCAGAAACATCCTTCTGTGGTGTGAAAGAGGGAAGCATTTATCCATATGCTCTTGTCCACCAGTGCTCCAGGATGGGCCCAGGAGGGCTAACTTCCAGATTGCCTACAGATGAGCACCATGAGTGTGTCAGAGAGGCTCAGGGCAGGCATTAGCCCATGTGAAATATGAACAAAGGCACTGTACTGTGTATAAGGTTGCATGTAATTAAGCTGGCCAAATTTGGAGATTATATTGTCATGAGGGTTGGAATAAGAAGTCATGAAATGATGCACAAGAGGTGTTTGATGCAAGTGTTCTATGAAACACAACAATGAAAGGTATGAAACTAAATAAATCTAACAAACGGTGTTAAAAATTTCTGTGATACAATGTTTGTGTTATTAAAAAACAGTAAAACCAACCAACCAACCAACCAACCTAAATAATGATCTCGGATAGGGAGAGTCAATGGTCTGAATTGGCAGATCTCTCCAAGTTGATTTATAGGTTAAAAAGAATTCTCTAGGGCGCCTGGGTGGCTCAGTTGGGTTAAGCGACTGCCTTCGGCTCAGGTCATGATCCTGGAGTCCCAGGATCGAGTCCCGCATCGGGCTCCCTGCTCGGCAGGGAGTCTGCTTCTCCCTCTGATCCTCCTCCCTCTCATGCTCTCTGTCTCTCATTCTATCTCTCTCAAATAAATAAATAAATAAAACACCTCAGTAAGATTTCTTATATTGTTTTGTTTTTATGGTATTGGATAAGCTGGTTTTAAAATAGATACTGTAGAGCATATGTCCAAGAAACTAAGGCCCCATGCTCCTGAAGAGGAAAGCCCGAGTGTGTGTGTGTGTGTGTGTGTGTGTGTGTGTGTGTGTGTACATCTTTCCCTGCCATATACTTGATATATATGCAGGGAAAGACTCATTGACAAATGGAACAGAAAAGGGAGTCCTTACACTCATGCATGCATAAAAGTAATTATCAAATGGTGACCTTTTATATCAGTGATTATATGAAATGATATGATAAATGATAAAATATGAAAATGATAAAATAAATTGAATCCCTACCATATTCCATAATCAACTATCAATTCTAGATTGAATAAAGACTTAAATGCCAAAGCCAAACCTAGAGAACACTTCAGGATTCAACAGCGAAGAATATATTATTATTTTTTTAAAAAGTTAAAGGTAAACCATTAAGGAAAAGACTGATAAATGGTACTAAATTAACATTTAAAGATGTTAAATTAATATTTAAAAGTTCCATAACCAATACCAAACAGCAAGACACATTCCAGGAGAAGATTAAACAATCAAAAAAGGATTAGCAGCTAAACACCAGAAAGGAAGATAAGAACTCAGTAGAGAAATAGGAAACCGACCAACAAACAAGCAAACAAAAAACCATAAAGAGGTTTACACAGAATATGAAACACAAATGGTTCATAAACACATGAGAGCCACTCAACCTCATTTGCATTAAGGGAATAACAGATTAAAATCACAATTAGATACATTTTACACACCAGTTGGGCCACTTTAAAAGTCTGAAAATAACAAGGGATGGTGATAACTTGAAGCAATGGAAACTCTCATCGGATGCTGCCGGACAGTCAGCTGGTACAACTGCTTTGGAACTGTCTGGGGTTACCAAGTGAAGTTGAACTTGAGTATTTCTTCCTTGCTCTGGAACCCAAAGAAACTCCATACCGTGCACCAGGAAACATACAAAACAAGCATGTTTTTAGTAGGGTCATGTCTAAGAGCAACTGGGAACAGCTGAAATGCACATATTAATATTAAACATTAATATTAATATTAAATATTAATTTAACATCTTTAAATGTTAATTTGGTACCATTGTGAGATATTCATACAAATGGAGTGCTATTCATTAGCAAAAACAAACCAACCATCACTATGCATCACCATCAGCATGGATGCAAAACTGCAAGTTCAGGGGGAAAAACATGAGGCAAAGTAATATAACAGCATGATTAGTTCCTACAAAGTTTAATACTAGCAATCTATTATTTAGGGAGACCGACACAGAGGTTGTGAAACTCTAAGAAAAACAAAGATATGATAAATATGAATTCAAGATATTTCTGTCCCACAGGGGCTTCTAAAATACTGCTGATATTTTTTTCCCTTAACCTTAGTGCTAAATACATGGGTTTTTAAATATTATTATTGTTTAAACTGTTGAAATTTGTTTAATGTACCACTTTATGAAATGTTTCGACATAATAAAAAAAAGTTTCAGTGACAGATCAATCTCATGAATAACCCATTCTGGTTTTGGACATGTCTACTTTATAATCTCTTTCTTTATGTTAAGCTGAAGCATTCAGCACTTATTCTTTATTTGGTCTATAAAGTTTCATAGAGAATCAAATCCTACTTACACATGACAGCTTTTTAAGTACTCTAAGACAGTTGCCTTGTTCCCTTTTAGGCTTCTTTTTTCCCAAAAATCAACCTTCCTTAAATCAGGTTTCCAGATACCTCACCGTTTTGGCTACCTTCCCCTGGACATGCAGCCAGAACCGAGGGCAACATTCGTTTGTTCTGGCCAGCAAAATGTCTGATGGGACTATTAACTTTCTTGTTTGGGACACTACACTTATTGATATAGCCTAAAACTGACCTAGGTTTTTGTAGCCTTGTACACCTCATGAATTTATCTTGGGTTCTGTGTCATTTCAAACCTGAAGTCTTTTCAGTTAAGGTCTATGTAATAAAATTTTCTTTCTCATCCTATACTTGAGAGGTTGATTTTTTAAAAACTGTATTTGGGACTTCACATTTATTCCTACTGTTTTATCTTGGAAATTTGGTTACATTGTTTTAGCCTACTGAGATCTTTTCAGTCCTGATTCTAACATCTGTGTGTTTACTTTTCTTCCTAGATTTGCATTATCAGCAAATTTGGTAAACAAATATTTCATTAATCAAGCATTTATTTAAAAACTACCATGTATAAGGTAATGTGCTAGGTAATGCAACATTCACCCCAGTAGTAAATAAAAACATTAAAATGGAGACGCTCCAGAGTAAAGACTTCTCTCCGAATTGATAATCCACTCATAATCAAAAACTTTTGATATTTGATAAAAATTGGCACACAGATTTACAGTCTACATTTCCCTTTAAAAATTTCCCCCATTCTCACAGTCACATCTTTGTTGGCAAGACCTAAATCTATACCTTCAGCCTTGACTGATTTTTTATATGTGATTGACTCCTCTGTTTTGCTACTTCACCGTCCATAAAACTAAGCTATATGCAGGATTTTCTTTTTGCCAAAACCTGCCCTTTTCCCTCTATTATTATCCGTATTGATTAATGACTTTAACATCCTCTCACTCAGTCCCGACAAACTTGAAGTGGTTTTTAATTTAAAAAAATCGTATTGATTTTTTTCTTAGTATAGAAGAATATTGGATCCTGTTATTTTTATAAAGAAGAAAATTAGTAGTATAATGGTACAAATAAAAATTAAAATAAATATTCATAACCTCCATCTAGAAATGAGCATTTTATATTGCTATTTATCCTTCTGGCCATTGTTCCATGCATTAGAGAAACACAATCATTATTCACTTACCTGAATAAGCAAAAATTTTAATATAGTGTGAATGTATGTAACTGAAAGAATAATAAGGAAGTATCTATGTGATTATCACCCCTGTCAAGAAATAGATATGGCAAATGTGCAGATAACCCTCATATGCTCTTTCTGTGACTACTTTCCCCCTCTACAAATGTTTCTGTCGTGACTTAGAATATTATAGTTTGTTTTGCTTGGTTTTTAAACATTTATTTAAATGAAGTAATATGCATTCTTTTTGTGTCTGGAAAATTATTTCCTATATTATGTTGGTGAGCTCTATCCACATTGTATGTGGGACAGTAGTTTATTCATTTTCAGTATTGTGTAGTATTCTATTGAATGTGCCACAAAATATTTATCCAGTCTAGCATTAATTAACTTCTGGGTGGTTTCCAGTGTGAGGATATCATGAATAGTGCCGCTATGAACATTCTTTTGTATGCACACATGTATTTCTCTTTGAAATATGTCTAAAAATGGAATTGTTAATAGGACATATGTATATTCAACATCAGCATAGGATGTATGTTTCCAGAGTGGTTCTACTCATTAGAATCCACCAGCTCTCTATGAGAATTTTAGATGTTCCATATTCTCACTAACACTTAGGATTACCAGTTTTATTTTAGCCATTCCAACTGGTGTGTGTTGATATCTTCTTGTGGTTTTGGTTTACATTTTCCTAAAGTGTCATAATATTGAGCACATTTTCATCGGATACCTTCTTTTGTGTACTGAGTCTCTATAAATATCTTCTCCCAATTAGTGCCTTACCTTTTTGCTCTCTTAAAATATCCTTTGACAAGTGGAAGTTTTTAATTTTAATGTCTTTTCCTTTAGCATTAGTGCTCTGTGTGTCCTGATTAAGACATTTTGGCTTACCTCATATTACTGAGGATATTCTTCCATAGTTTCTTCCGGAGGCTTCACTGTTTTATCTTTCACATTTAGATCACACTATACCTTTAGTTGATCTTTGTGCATAATATGAGAAATATTTTCTTTTATGATATGCCTATCTAGATGAGCTAGAATAATTTTTTAGAATGACCATTCTTTATCCACTGCTTTAGAGTACCACCTTTGTCATGAACCTATTGTATGTATATGTAAGGATATTAATGGACTGTTTGTTCTGTTCTGTTGATCTAGGCATCTATTCTGTTGGCAATACCATGCTCCCTTAATTACTGAAACTTTATTTTTTATTTTTTTTTAAGATTTTATTTATTGTCAGAGAGAGAGCGTGCCGCAGGCAGAGGGAGAAGCATCCTCCCTACTGAGCAAGGAGCCCGATGTGGGACTCGATCCCAGGACCCTGGGATCATGACCTAAGCCAAAGGCAGACGCTTAATGACTGAGCCACCCAGGCGTCCCAATTACTGAAACTTTAAAATAAGTCTCAACATCTGTTAAAGTCCTTTAATTCTTGTCCTTCAAGATTGGCAAACTTTTGCCCTTTGTAAATTTACTTCATTTTAGAATTTGCTTGTCACTGTCTACCAAACAGCAACAACAAAAACCCACTTCCTGAATTTTGACTGCAAGAAATTTGAATGGAAAGGTCAATTTGGGGAGAATAGATATGTTTATTATATCTTCATTATATTGTAATATATTTTATTCCTCTGATTATTTAATGACCGCCCATTGGCTAAATATGGTCCTCTGCCTGTTTTTGAAAATGGAGTTTTGCTGGAGCACAGCCACACCCATTTATTACATATCGTCTGCATTACAGGGCAGAGTTTGATGGTTGTAGCAGAGACTATCTAGCCTGCAAAGGTGAAAGTATTTAATATTTGACCCTTTACAAAAAATACTTGCTTGCCTCTCATTTGAATATTGCTTATTTCTTTTTATAATGTTTTGTATTTTTCTGTGTGGGACTCCTAAGATATTTCCTTAGATTAGTTTCTAAACATGTAATATATTTGGATGTTGTTATAGATGATATAATTTAAATTTTCATTTTATGTTCTTTGATGTTTAAAAAATACTATTGATTTTTATATACTGACTTTGCATCCAATCTGTAGATTCTTTTCATTTTTTTGTGTATAAAATCTTATCAGTTTTTATTTCTTCTTTGCTACTTCTCATATATATTTATCAAATTGGTGATAATGGGAATCCTTGTTTTGTTACTGATAGTAGAGGGAGAATTTTAACATACCACTATTATGTAGGGCATTTGCTGTTTGCTATTTTGTTGAAATAATTTTCATCAGATTAAAGAAGTTTTTCTACTCCTGGTTTGCTTCTTTTATGAATTATTGAGTTTCATTAACTATTTTCTCTGAATACATTGAGATATTCAGTATGCTTTTACTTCTTTCTCTGTTAATGTGGGAAGTTATGTTGTTTTCAAATGATAAACCTCATATTACTGAAGTAAACCCAACTGATTGTGATGAATTATTCTTTTGGTATTTGTTTACAAATAAATTTAGATTAGAGTTAAATCTTGCAAATTTTGTTGTTTTGTTTTTGCAATTATAATCCTAAGAGAGATTTGGCTATAATTTACCTTATAAGGTTTGATATCAAGGTTATGCTGCCTCAAAAAATGAGTTGGAGAGTGTTTCTTTTTTTTCATTCTCTTGAAGAGCTTATTTAAGATTGGTATTAGTGCTTCCTCAAATATTTCATATAATTTATCAACAAAGTCATGCAGGCATGACTGAATGGAAAAAAATTTTCATTGAATTAAATTATATTATAGTTCTAGGAAAGTCTATATTCCTTTAAGATATATAAAATAGTGGCAAACATTCCTTTTTCTGTAACAACTAGAAAAACCTGGATGAATTGAAAAATTATATATACCTATTACTTGTATCTCTATCTCTGTATCTATGCCTACAAAAGTTATCAGAAAATAGTGAATGTATAGAGGTCTAGAGGAATTAATTTCCAAGAAGAGACCTTCTACATGGACAGAGTTTGGCAGCCATGTTCCTCTGGGGGCTTTTACCAAGTCCAGTTATAAGTTGAGGTTTCCACACAGACAGGCAGAAATTGATGAGGGAAAGAGAAATCAGGGAGCTTTTAATGGAGGGATGGCACAGCCACTTGAAAACTGGATGAGTCCTAAATGCATAGCTATTTTCCCCCACCATATTTCTCCATAAGACTCTTGTCTAGGGTTCTGCAGGAGGGAGATGGGAGACTGGGCTGAAATACTCAATAAAAACTATTTCTAGTCCCAATACTTAGAAGCCAAAGTTCTGTGAGGTGGAAATGTTTATAATAAACACGGTACTGCTCACGCCTTTGTAATTTAGTCTAACTAAGGTGGCAACCCGAAACACTTACCCAGCTTAATTCCTAATTAAGGAGTTCAAAAGAGCCAGTTACCCTCCCTGTCTGACAAAGAAAAGTCATGTCCTCTGAGGGAAAATAATATTGACTCCAGTCTCTATTGTCCTTTTTGGCATACATAAAATAATTATGCAGCGTATGAAGAAGGGAGAAAATGTGATCCATAATCAAAGAGAAATACATATCCCGGACCCCAGATGATCCAGATGTTGGAATTAGTAGACAAGGACTTTGAAATGACTGTTACACAATTTGTTATGGAAAAATAGAAAAAAAATGGAAAAATTTGATAGAAAGATGGTGAATTTTGACAGATAAATACAATTTTAACAAATTTTCCAAGCAGACACTATGGATCTGAAAACAAAAACAATATCTGAAATTAAGATTTCATGGGAATGGCTTAGCATTAGATTGTACATGTTAGATAAAATTAGTGAACTCAAAAGCAAGTCAATAGAAATTGAAATGAATGAATAAGAAGAGTTTAAGAGACTTGCAGGACAGTCAAACATATAAGCAGAGTCTCAAAAAAGAAGAAAAGCAAAAGAATGATACTTAAGCAATATTTGAAGATACAATGGGCAAGAATTTTTCAAAACAGATGAAAGATAGCACTACAGAGATCTAAGAAGTTCAGCATGCTCCAGTCAAGATAGTATGAGAAAAACTATGAACTTAATCAACTATGGCATTTTCATCATTTTTGGAATGTTCTCACCTCTTTGTTTCTCTTCTTCTTCTAGTAGTCCTGAAGGTACAGTAGACCTTCTTAATGTATGTCCTTAGACTCTTATTCTCTTAGTGTTTTTTTTTGTATTTTTCATGCTTTTAAAAATATATGTTTTATTCTGAACCCTTTCCTTTCACCTAATTGTCTTTGAATTCACTAATTCTCTCTTCACCTGCAGCTTAGCTCTTCTTGTTTATCCATTGAGTTATTAATTTTGATTATTGTATTTTTGCTTTCTGAAATTGTGCTTTGATTCACTTCTTTTACAATTGTTAGTATTTATTTATTTATTTATTTATTTATTTATTTATTTATTTATTTAAAAGATTTTATTTATTTATCTGACAGAGAGAGACACAGCGAGAGAGGGAACACAAGCAGGGGGAGTGGGAGAAGGAGAAGCAGGCTCCCCGCGGAGCAGGGAGCCCGATGCAGGGCTTGATCCCAGGACCCCAGGATCATGACCTGAGCTGAAGGCAGACGCTTAACGACTGAGCCACCCAGGTGCCCCATACAATTGCTAGTTTAAAAAAAAAATACTTCCAATCTTGAATTCTATTTCTTCATGCATATTCATCAAATGTTTAAATGTCTATTATTGATACTTGATTCAGCATTTATTTTTGGTAACTCCATTATCTAGATATTTGATTGCTTTGTTTCTTTTACTATCATTCCAGGCCCCCATCACAGTTTTTGTTTTGTGCATATGTGTGTATTTATTTTTGATTGAGTGTAAGGCATTATATATAAATAATTTGTAAACTGGATAATGTTACTTTTCCTCAGCAAGGTTTTACATTTGTTTGACAAGTGGCTAGGGGCACCGACAATCCGAGACAACTTTAGTCTAATTTCAGGGTTTGAGATTATTATCTAATTCTTTGTGAGTTTTGGTATATTTGTGATTTATTGTTATTCTTATGGTGCAGCTTTTTGAGGTCTTAATATAAAGCATTGGGGTCTTGGATTTTCATTTTTGTCCCTCTATCCTAAAAGTTTTTCAAAATCTCTTCTTAGGTTCTTAGCCTCTCAGTGGCTTTTCTAGAATCTACAAGCACTTACAATTAAAGTGGCCTCAAATGTCAGACACACCTCTCTGGGACCTTTTCTCTTAAATCTTTGACCTCTAATTTTCTACTGTCTCCTTAGGTCTCATAGCTTCAGGAAATCTAAAAAAAAATTTTGTCTAACTTTTCTATTTGTTTTCAATGGGAGCTTTTGCTTGAATTACCTATTTTGGCAGTATTGCTAAACACAATTTTAAAATAACTATTGTGTTAGTTAAGTTTGGATGCTTATAACAGCAAACACCAGTGGCTTGAATACCAGAAAGGTTTATATCTCTCTTACATTAAAGAAGACCAGAAATAATCCATCTAGTGCTTGTTTGGCATTTCTGTGGTCATTAGGGACCTGGGATATTTTTATATTTCTGTTCTACTAGACTTAGAATGTGGTTTCCATCCTCAAGTTTGTCACAGAGTCTGAGATGGCTGCCAGGACTCTAGCCACCATGTCATTAGAAGCATAAATGGAAGAATGGGGAAAAAAACCCCCACAAGTTATCTGATCTTTAGGGGAATATTCTCAGAAGTTCCACCTAACATATTTTGCTTTTATCTCATTGGCTAGGATATAGTGTCATGATCACCTGGCTGTAAAGGGGGTTGGTAATGTAGAATTTTATCTGGTAAGTAGTCTCAAATAGAATGGGGTTATGATATTAAGAAATAAGAATAGAGTAGAATGGATATTAGGCAAGTAACTTGTAGTCACTGATATAGCTCCATAATATCCCTTAATGTGGTGGACTATAATTAATTTATTGTTGCACATTCATGTTTTTCCCACCTTTTCCATTATTATAGGCATGCTGTGATGAACCTCATTCTGTAAAATTTTTCATACATATACATTCTTATGACCTATTTTAAAATATCTTTGTATTATTCTTTGCCTTTTAACTTGGTCAATAATAGTTTGTATGTAGAGTAGTATTTCCTTATAATATCTAAAGATTTTCCTTTGTGATTTTTGCTGTTATATGCTTTAATTATCCATCCTCCAAAAGAGAGGAGTTAAATATTTACCTATCTTTTCTAGTAATTTTTTTCATGATTTTATGTGTTTTTATATAGGAACATATTTCATACATGTGAATTTGATTACACACATTATTTTTTAAATGAGGACCCCTCAGAGGGCAAGGTCCAGATTGTAGTCTTATTTTTGTCTCTAACACTAAGTACAGTACTTGGATCGACAGGTACATCATACCTGTAGTTTAATGAATGTGTACAGAATGAAGTTGTCTTCATGTACTTATTTCTTCAACTACGCCATCTCTATGTTTTTGCTTTACCCTGTTCCTGGCATCCTGTGTGTTTAAATCTTCATGCCATCTTCTTTTTACAATTAATATAGTCATTCTAGTGTTAGAAATTTCCCTAATGAAAGCTACATGACTAAGTTTTTTGTCAGTCACTTTGTAATACAGAGTTGTGAAGTATGTGGGGGGAAATAAGGGAGGGATAGGAATGTGTGGACAGAGAGTACAGCCTTCACAGTTCTCCCCAAGGCAGTTTTATGGTTTGCTAATGAAGCTAAGCCTCAGGCCCTTCACTTGCAATGTGTTTATATAGTTGTATATTTTTGCAAAGTTTACATAAGTGAGGTATTTTAACCACAATTGGTTAAATCAACTGTCTTTACATCCTGACTTTTATTCTTTCATACTTTTGTGTTCAGTGGTATTGGAGAGCAGCAGATATTTTTAGTAGAAATGCATTTAGTTCAGGTTTAATGGGATGTATTTATGTTATTTGCAGTCACTTATGCATAGTTAAGCTACTGTTAGCTGTCCTGGTGTGGAATTGTTTCTAGGAATATCGCCCTCTATAACAAATCAACTGATACTGTGACAGCAAAGTAGAGGACCAAAGGACTAAAGATGTGATTGTGGAGGAAAAATAAGGTTGGAAATATATATAAAATCAGAAGCTTACTGCTGGATTATCCAAACTTAGATGGAAGAACATTTGACATCCCTCCTAAAACTTTATATTGACTTTAATGAGTTATAAAGTTGAAAGAAAATCTTCTAAATGATCAATAATAAGAAATTTTATTCCTGTTTGCAATTTTATATAAAAGACTATTATCTTTTTATTTGATATTATTATTTATTGTA